AGCAGTCAACTTATACACCTGACATACCAAAAATTACAAGAGCGCAATCAAAAATATAGCGGGTCGACTTATATACCGGTATATACAATATACAGAATTTTATATTTTTACAATTGGGTAAATTATGTTATAAATCTTCATTGTAGTCATTAAACTTATGGTTATAAAAATAACACTTGCTAAGATTAATTTAAATCATAAATGTATAGTTTAATATCATAAGAACAGAAGTTTCGAAATAGGCTATCTTACAGTGCGTGTAGATACGTTGATCAAAAAATGACGTTAATAAAGTGTGACAAAATAAAAATAATAAAGATTACAAGTGAAGCAGGATGTAATGAAAACTATTTAAATATTTTTATCTGAGAAAATCAACTTCTGGAGTCGACTTGCTAAGAAAAGAATTATTTACTGATTTGATAACAATAAAAAATACGGTATTTTGATCTGTTCCGCAAATAACCAAACGATTTGTCGATTCGGGAAAATCTATTCAGCTTCAGTATTTTTCATTTTGGAAAAACAATGAGTTTTGGAATTATTGGCTACATCTGAAGTTTAAGCACATCATAAATAAATGCTAATAATTAGGCTAATATTATGATAATTAAATGCTAATAATAATACGTAGCGGGTCCTAAAATTTGGCTGGGTCCAGTTATTCAAAACTAAACAGAAAAAAAAAAATCTAGGTGTATATATGTATAAACTACAGACGTAACTTATGATGGACGATGGGAGCTACCTAAAGCATTTGCAGCTGTTAATGTTAAACCTTGTCATTTTCAACTACACCTAGAAGATAAGAGGAAGAGGATTCCTAAGTTAAGCCCAGCAACCTTATCAAGTCGATCAAATTCGATTTCGTGAAGAATTTTGTAGTTAAACCTAACGCTTATTCGTGGGAGAAGAGAAAAACCGTCCATTGTTAGCCTGACGGTAAGGGAACTAAACCGGAGAGAAATTGAACATATCGCATCGTTACCAATAGATAATTTTATTCCGTTATGCTTCAGTTTTATGTAAGCACGAATAATAAAATTTCTCGAAATAAGTTTATTATGTCAAAAATAAATTTTTTTTTTAATATTATTTTATGGATGCGTCCTTCTTCTCAATCTTAATGTAACTTTCTGTATTATTAATTTTATTATTCGAATTCTTCAAAATAGAAAATTCGAAAGACTTCAATCTTCAAAGAAAGAAGACAACCAGAAAATAAATAACTTATCAAATGCGAAAAACAAGAAGATTTTCACCGACATCAGAATTTTTCAATTGAAATTGTGAGATTGATGAGAAAAATTTAGAGGAATCGTATTTCACCACTCTCAATGACTTTTTATCATTTATTTCTTTTATATTACATGTATAAAAGTAACAATTTAAAATTTCTTTAACTAAGAAACCTTATTCGAAAGTGAATAATAAAAAAGAAATTTTTTTAATTTTATTTTTCAGTTTCAGTTAATATGTAATAAAAATGGGTTAACGTCCACTGCAGATTGGTAAGCAACTATATCAATCGTCAACGACGATTAAATGCACTATTTCCATCCTTTTTGATAAAAACCTTTAAGGTCGTAATCAGCTATATGGAATTAATAAATGAGAAGTCATAGAAGGGGAGAGGCGAATTCGTGAAAGCAGGACTTTAAAACTAGTTTATTATATGAACCTTATTGACCCTGCCCAATATTTATTTCTGAGATCAATTTTTGAACTCAGAAATAAATATTAGGTTGGGTCAATTTTATTGTTAGGCAAATGCATATATAATTGATTTATTACATGGCAGTTCCTTCCTGGCACTATGATTGAACCCATTAACCCTTTTCTATTGACACTAAATAAAACTTCTTTTTAATAATTAATTGAAGACTATAAGTGTTATTTATAGAATTCGAAACAGAAGTTAATACCGAGAAATTATTTGAGCGAAAAATATGTTGAAATGTTAATTATTTGGAGTTGAATAATTTTTAAGCTATTTAGTGCATCTGAAAATTAGTTCGTGGATATAAATGCATTAAATGTTTACATAAGGCGTTTTAAATTGTTACATGCGTAAAATTATTACATTTACAAAATCGAAGAACCGTCGAAAAAAGTTGGATCATTTAGGGTTTCATAATCGAAAAAAATTTGGGAATCGCTGCCGTGATACATACATTTTTACTTGATGGAATGTTCTTATTTTTAAAAAATGTAATTTATTTTGAAATTTATTCACCCTAATTATTGATGGAAGTTACTATTACGAAATAATTTAAGTTATAAAAAATTTAGTTTATAAGGAATATTTTTTTAGTCATGAAAGCATAACTTCAGTATTGCAATGGTAATAAATTTCCTCTAAGTCCCATTGAAGGGGGTGTGATAATTTCAGATTGCTCAGTTGAATAGGAAGAGAGCGGTCTTTTCTAGAAGATGAACTTTGACATTGATGAATTTTTCCCCCAGTGCAGCTATGGGCTTAGGCTCCTCTAAGGCTGTGGGAGGAATGCCTTCTAAGAAAAAGATCACCCGATACTTTGTCAAGTTTCCCGCCGAACACGCCAAACTAACGTTTTGATTGGTTCGATAGAAAAGCGCGCACTTCTTTCTTTCAGTATGGCTGTGTGGAAAGTTACACAAACTGTTTTTTTGTAAGAGTTTTTATTTGAATTAATAATTGTCTAATTCGCAATAAATATAATTTTATTTTTTAATTTCAAACTTCTTTTTTTATTAATTTAAGATTTGCTATTAAAAAATTACTGTTTATTTCCCCCCCCCCTTCTCTTTCGACTCGATGTTTATTCGTAAATGAAGTAAGTTTTTTTCCCTGTATTTTAAAAATTTTATAGTGTATAATTTAGACGTAATGCATCTTTATTTTTTACTAATTATTGTTTTTTTTTAAAAAGTAAATATAAATTTAAAGTTAGTATGATTTTGCTTAAAATTTATGTTTAAAAAAAAACACCATTTACTTTGCTTAATTTGTTTAAATAAGATCTAAATTGTATAGAGTATTATAATGTTTAAATACTGGAAGAAAAAGTATTATGTATTCAGTTTTAATATAATAATTATTTTGTTTAGAAATCGATAACCATAAATTGAAGTTTAATTAGAAATTTCTCCGAGAAAGTTTAATTCAATTAGTTATTTAAAGAAAAAAATAGTTTTGTTTCATTGAAAACGTTACCTTAAAAGCATAGTATTTAATATGCAATAAATATAAAAATTATTACGTTTGCCAAACTTTCCATTTCGAATTAACAGTTAAAACTTAACAATTTTAAAATGGATTAGCCTACTTGAATAGAGTTTCCATAAGTAAGTGTTTATTTATGTTTATCTTTGATTTTCTACTTCGTTATCCTTGTTTCTTTAAAACCCAGATTTTTCACTCTTGAACTATGTTTACATTTTGCATGCGATTTTTTTTCTATCTTCTGTACCTGTTATTTCAATTTCCTCCCCGTTCCTGATATCACGACGGTAACACCGTTCTTTTTTGGTCCTCTCCTCTTAGAGAGCGCCTTTTCTTTCCCCCATCTTCCCCCTTTCCTTCGTGATGTCATGATCGGGTTTCTCTTTTTCCTCCTACCCCTTGGCGACCTATTTAAATAGGTCGCCAAAAAATTGGCGGCACTTGGCCTTGCCGTAGTTATGATAATCATCCCGGTCCTGATGTGCGTCGGACAAAAAATCCTCAAGTGGTAGTTAACAGAAGAATATATCTACTTAGTTATTCTAACTATTCTACTCATTATATTCTTAGTTATTTATATTCTACTTAGTTTAAAATAAAATAAATAACTACTGTTCTCATAAAGGCACTTAACATATTAATCTTACTTTGATGGGCTAAAAAATTTGTCCGGCAAAATAAGATTTAAAAAAAAAAAAAAAAAAAAAAAAAAAAGAGCAGCGAACATGAGAATTTTTGCTTACTAAAAGGTGTATATCCTGTGGCCGATGTTGGATGGTTATTATGATCTTCCTCAATAAAACGTGCTGCGTCCATCGCCTTGTCTTCACCAGTTAAATCTCGGCTATGTAATTCCGTAGTGAAAGTAAATCCCAATTAATAAAAGCAAACGATATCAGTTCAGTAAAAGAACTTCTACATGGAATATGGGCGTTTATATGTATTCAAAAAAAGGGAGACCCGAGGTATGAGCACTCGTGACAAGTGGTCTTCCTAGCGTAATGAGATTACACAAGCGGCAAATATTTCTTTAGCCATGTGACTTCGTTTTATCTGGTGACGTCACTTCGAAGAGATAACTCCGCCCACTTGATACACCGAAGGTTATCTGTCTTCCTCTCTTTTTCTGAGCTTCTATCTTTACCGGAATAATATTTGATATATGCAAGTGCAGTTGACACAGCGATCTTTTTTTTATTTTATTTAAAAGGTAGAGTCTGGCTTTTCTCCCCGTTTTCAAAAATATTTTCGGTTTTTCCATCAAGGATTGCGCCAATTTTGTTAGTTAACACTATGTATCGTGAATATGTTTTTTTATTTTCTGATTCCAAGAATTTTTTTTTTTCTTTTGAAAAGTTTTAGACTTTGTTCGTATTCAAATTCAGTGCCTGCCATTGGAAAAAAAAAAGAAAAAAAAAAGACTTTGTTCGTTACAGTCGTTTACAAACCCAAAGCTACCAATTTTTCCGTAATCTTAATTAAAAATGCTTAATTTATGCTTTTTATTCTTAATTCTTTATTCTAAATTGCATTTAAAATAATTTGACCCCCTCTACATATCATAAAATTGACAGAGAAACTATATACTTTATAAATTCCAAATTTATTTGTATACTTTCCCAAGATTTGAGTTTGAATTTTGGTGCAAAATAAAATTAAAATAGAATATTTCTACCTAGTCTTGATTTTTTACAACCATTTAGGAGAATCATCCACTGATAAACAAAAAGTCGACAGGCATAAAATTCTAAATTTAAATTTATTTTTTTTTAAATATCTATTTAACTTCTACAAATTCAAGCGTATAGAAATTTATAATAATATAATTTTCGAAGAGTATAACAAAAATTGCCTGTATTTGTCGAGTCTTATTGTAATAAAGAGTTCTTTTTATTTTTCAAAAGTTTTATTTTTCTTAAAATTAGCATTTCACATAAAAGTATAAATTAAAATAACGTATTAAAATCCACATAAAAAAACTTTTATGGTTTATTGCACATATTTAAAATATTATATTATTTTTATTTGTTTTAAACTTATTATTAATACAATCAAATCGCGATCACTCGAATATGATTAAAGCTACAAATAACTTCTGAGACTAAGGAGAATGTTTTTTATTTTAAAATAATAAAAATTATTATTTTGTTCCATCAAAGATATTTTCACAATTCCTTACATTTACCCTTGCACTCTGAGTACTTTAGAATATTGTTTGAATGGGATTCCTGCAAGTGGCGTAATTTGGGTTTCTCGAGACTGATTGGTTGTTGAAACGTGGCATTTGTTTACGTTATCAACTGTTCTTTCCATTCTATTTCGAGTAAGCGAAACCTGTTAAGTATCAATTCTCTCAAGTGACACATTCTACTATCTTTCACAAAGATTCTTTCTCAAAGGTTTCAATTGTTTCACTATATATTTACACAGAGACTTAACACAAAGAAGTCATGTGCAACAAAAACAAATCATTTATACATCGAGGTTGCCAGATACACAAAATAAAAATATATCACTACTGGAATAAAATACATAAACAAATAATAAATCTAAGTTAAGTAAAAGAGTTGGACGAAAGGGACGAATTATACTTCAATAAATTCGAAGTGTGATACGGCACTGTATTTAATTAACGTTAATTAATATTCTAATTTATTTGGAGAAACTTAGTTCAACTTTAACACGCCATTTTGCTCATAAACGATCAGCTAGTGCTGACGTCATAAATCACATGTGTGGGTATAGGTGGTCTTTTTCGTGAAGTATCCAATTAATATAAACTCTAAATCATTTAAAATATACAATACAGTATTTTTATATATAATTTTTAAATTTCTTAAAATAATGTGGTTACTAATTATTAAGGTATTAAAAGTTTTGAAAGGTTAGAGGGAGACTGAGAGAGGATATCGGAATGCAAAGGCTGAAGAGGATGTCAACTTTCACTCTTTTGGAGAATGAATTTTTCAAGGGGAAATATTAACCGAACATAAACAGTTTCTAAATTTTGACAAAGTTGACTGCCATTTTAAGGTGTTTACGAAGTATAAACAATCTCGGCGTCTACCGAGTCGATTAACGGATTCGTTGGAATTACGAGTCGGAAGATATGAAACGGGATCAAATAAAATAGGAGGGAGAGGACTTAGCAAGGTCGGAAATGATATTGAAGGTCAAGAAAACCTCCCCCAAATTGAAAAGGTGTCCAAATTGAAGTAATCATCAGTAATAAACATAATATGATAAGTAAAATTCGATTAGAATAATAAGTATGAATGGAAAGAAAAACTGAGCACTAAGTACAGCGAGTAGAATAAGTACAAAAAAAAATGAACAATCATAAGACTATGTGAGAAGCGTAAATTCGACAAATTATTTACTAGATATGATTATAGTTCGTTCACCAGGAGTTGACACTTGTCTCCGCCTTCATCACGTGATATCCGATGATACTATTTCGCTATTTTTGGGAGAAGGATGCAGACAATCCTGAACAAGGTTGCTATTTGGCGATCGTATGACAAAAATATTTATTTCGCAATCTTTCTGTGCATTTTTTTTAACATTAAATATTTCACAAATTTGATGATATTTCTCTCTTTTGAGTGAATAGTTTGTCCATTTTGAGACATTTTGCGGGGAAAACAGCAGTATTTAAATAAAAAATATAATTAATTAGCTAGAGTAAAGAAAGATATAATAGAATTCACTGCTTGCGTTTGCAACGTATTAAGGGTTGTCTCCATTTCAAGCGCGGAGTTGTTTCTCCTCTTACTCACGCTATGAAATGAATTTAGCGTCCCAGGAGGTAGAGCCAAGTGCCAACTCCTGGTGAACGAACTACAGATCTATTTACACCTATTGTTCAATCTAATATATTCCTGTTTATTAATGTCGCCATCTTGAGATTCTGTAGCTAGATATTATGGAGATAATGCAAGATTTTTGAAACCGATTCACAGCATACGTCGGCTCCGAGAAGACTTCAACCCTTCAATAATTTTGCAGTCGCCAAGTTTTATTCGTATCTCATTCGCTTCTTTTATCCATGAACCGTATCTTATTCTAAGAATTTCTTTTTTCCTGATCGTAAACTTCAAAATTACAAATGTAATCCCAATTTAAATTGCTCAAAAACGTTTCGTATTTATTACGATGATTTGTTCTTTGTAATCAGCCGAAAAGACTATGATTTAAGTTTTCTTGCCGTATACGGCCAATATTTTGGTTTGTAGCCTATCTTATTTACTGTTTTTTTTAAAAAGATGCAATTTCTGGGACACCATGTCTATCAGCCCCCAAATAAACGATTTCTTTATATACTTTTTATAATGATATAGTATATAATGATATTATATATTTCTTATAATGATAAAACCGTACTTATCACTTTACAAACTGCTTTCTTTTCCGGACCCTTATAATGACGTCGAAAACGTATGACCAAACCGAAGCAACAACCGCACACCTTTTTAAAATATCCCTCTTCTCATTAATTTCTTTTATTTTGAATTCATTACGATACCATAAATTGAGCCGTTTCTTTAGGAGCATTCGCCTTCCAATGATGTGGTTCGAATTCCAGTCGATACGAATTCCACATCCGGCTTCTACCCACCGCGAAAATTATCCTCAGTATCATGGGTTAGAGTCTCCTTGCCGTCGGGCTAACCTTCCTTTTCATGTAACGCAAATGCGGGTTAGTTCCATTAAAAAGTCCTCCATGAAGGCAAATTTCCCCCAATACTTGATCCAGGAGTTCATCTAGATTGGGTTCAAAATGACAAGGCTACGGACATCAAAAGTCGTAAACCTAAAAATTGGATCGACTGTTCAAGAACGATTTTAGAATCCCATAAATTATGTGTATTGTTAACTTTATTTTCCCATTTCGATTTATTGAATAATCATGACGCAGTTGGGTAAGGTTTTTAATTCGAATTCTGGTCTCCACTTCTAAGATTTGAGGAGGGAAAACATTCAGGAACTCAAGGAAGTGGCTTTTTCTCGACTCATCACTTACGTTTTTTAAAATTTTGAGAATCTGTGATACTTTCCGTTCGTTGCGAAATTTTTTAGTTATTATTATAACACTTTATACGAGGGTAGTAATTTAATACGTTTAGGACAGAGTAAAGAAGAAAGCCCCATAATTTTCTTGATTAATTCCCAAAGATTCTGAATTCCAATTCTCATACAAACATTAGAACGATACATAAAATTATAGGCTGGTTACTTAAGCAGTGGTGACGTGTTGGACCCTTCTCCCCTGCGACTCCCCTTGTTGTTGTTGTAGTTTACTTACGTCGCACTAGAGCTGCACAATGGGCTATTGGCGACGGTCTGGGAAACATCCCTGAGGCTGATCCGAAGACATGCCATCACAATTTTTATCCTCTGCAGAGCGGATGGCACTCCGCTTCGGTAGCCCGACGATCTGCACGCGAAGTCGAGCACTTTACGGTAGAACAGTTTAACGAGGATCCATACCGCACACCCTCGGTCCCTACGCAGACTGATCCAAGTGGTCACCCACCCTCACACTGACCGTAGCCAGTGATGCTTGACTTCGGTGATCTGCTGGGAACCGTGTCTTAAAGATCAGTCCACTGTGGGCGGTTCCCTTTATGATAATAAAAAAAATATTAGGAGTATTTTAATTAGTGATAATTATTAGGGTTGACTCAGTCTTTCATCCCTTCAGTGGGTCGAGAAAGTGAATACCAAGCATTCTTGGAGACCAAGCGCTGGAGGTTCCGTGTTTGGCTGACCACCCAACCGCTCCTTCACCTTTGAGCCCATGATCAAGAGAAGTGATATGGGCCATGGCAGTCTATTGGCTATCACTTCACTCAGTTCAGTTTTTATGTTTTAACATGGACAGACAGGCATCGGATAATAAGTAACCAAGCTGAATCTTACAACTTTATTGACAATGAATGATTTGATGATTTATCTTTCAGCAGATCTAAGTTAAAAATGTTGTTGAAATCACTTGCGTTATTGATATGTGCTTCTTTAAAAAATTGGACGC